TGGGTCAAGCGGTTGCTACTAGGCCGCCATTGCGGGCCCCTCAGGCGCGGAAGAATTGAAGACCCTCTCAAGCGAGTCTGAGTGGTTCTTTTCTGAGTCTGAGAGTTTGAAACTTCTCCTTCTGCCTCCCCGACTCTAAGTCTGGTCCTTGGTTCTGAGAGGAAGGCGGCAGGCGGGCGTGTGGCCAGTAACCCGCGCCAAGGCCTTTGTGGGAGGTCGCCCCACCGATTGCGGGAGCTCTGCCGGGACTCAGGCGGAGTCCTGGAGGCAGGAAACTGAGTGGTAAACCCTTGACTCCCTCTATAAACCCTACTATAACCCCTACCTGTATATCTTTCTATGGTTTGACTTAGTGTACTGCGTGACTCCTGTACTCTGATTTTGGTTTGACTGTCATGACTTAAGTCAGACTGAAGTAAAGGAGTGTGTGTGCAATCTCAGTTTCAGGTTTGTTGATTGCCTGAAAGTGGACTATGAATAAGATGGGTTGCATCTGGGGGAAAGTTGGGAGGAAGGCAGTATTGTGTGCAACTTGACTGGGTCATTAAGGCTGGGAGATCCCCTTAAGTTTGGAGAAGCCCAGCACTTTGTTTATTTTTGAACTGCATGGAGCCTCAGACCGCTCTATAAGTTTAGGTAGCCTGAAGCTCTGGAGGGCTGGGATGTCGTCATAAGTTTGGGGAGACCTAGTGTTGTGAACTGCATGGAGGGTCAGGACGCTCTATAAGTTTAGGTGTTCTGACTGCTCTGACTTGTGGAGGTTTGACTGTGAGTGGCTTTCAGGAACCCAAGACGCTCTATAAGTTTAGGTACCTTGGGTTGCCTCGTTTTGTTTGGGGTTTTCGCAGTTTCTTTGGTGCTGGACGAGGAGGTGTGAACCGCTCTATAAGTTTAGGTGGTTCAACCCTTCTCTTGTTTTGTTTTGAGGGGATAATTATGGTAGGGGACAGGCCGCTCTATAAGTTTAGGTAGCCTATCCCACTGCCTCGCACAGATTGGATCAGAGAGAAACGAACCTGGCTGAGGATCAGACCGCTCTATAAGTTTAGGTAGTCTGACCCAATGCCTCGCACATGTTGAAACCCAATGGATATAACTTGGCTATATTATGTTACTATGTTATTAAGAATAGGCTAGTCAGACCGCTCTATAAGTTTAGGTAGCCTGACTATAGCTTATCATAACAGGAGAGAGTACAACTAAAGAGACACAACTGAAGGTATACTTGGGCAAGCTGAGCAATGTTCTAAGTTGAGCGGCTCAGCCCTATGCCCCCTTGAAGATTAAGTTCATATATATATATATAACTTGGCTATTTAAACACTTCAGGGCGACTAGAGTGGTCTAGTCGGACGCCCAAAGAAAAAAGTAGTTGTGCCCTTTGTTTGTGTATACCTGGCCAAGTCAGAACGCTCTATAAGTTTAGGTATTCTGACTTTGGGCCTGGCTAAGTTGGGTGCGCTCTGTAAGTTCAGGTGCCCTGACCTATGCCTTATGTAAGTTGGGTATGAGGGGATAACTCACTGAAAGGTCATGAACTATTGTTTCTTCAGACTGGCTTGGGGATGGTGAGAGTACTTACCTTCGTGGTTTGGCCTGCATGTGGCTAAGTGGGATTACTACTTGGTCTGGATTTTCAGGTTGACAGGTAGTTGCTTTAGAGGCTCGCCACGTGCTACAGCGATACGAGTTAGGTAAATTTCTGCATTTTCTGAGCTGACTTTATTTTACTTAGATCGATTTTTGCATTTTTCTGAGGGTCGCTACTATACTTGGACCTGTATAAATTCTGGTAAGTTACTTTCTCTACGGGAAGCGCTGCCGAAATTTCTACAGATTCAAGGAGTTAGACAAATTTTCGACTTGTCAAAGTTCAGTTTGTCTTTTCGTCATATCCGACTTAGTAAAAATCTGGAAAGTCTCCTTTTCTAAAGGGAGTGCTGCTAAAATTTTTGCTAATTCAGGGAGTTTGACAAAACTGGGCTTTGGGATGTCAGAGTTAGTCTTAGGTTTTAAACTTGGCTTTGTATGAATTTTTGGGAAGCACTTTTCTAGGGGGAGTGCTGCCGAAATTTCTGCAAAACTGAGGAGTTAGCCAGATTCTGTCTAAGTTGAACCCAAGGTTGGGGGTTCAGTTCAACTTCGACTTGGTACGAATCTGGGAAATCCCCAATTTCAAAGAGGGGGGCTGCCCAAATTTCTGCTAAGTCAGAGAGATAGACAAAATTTGATTTTCAAGAGTTATGGAATACTTCTTCTTTTGATATTCGAGCTGGTAAAAATTTTGAAAAGGCACTTTTCCTACGGGGAGCGCTGCCAAAATTTTCCTAAATTAGCGAAGTTGGATTACATTTTGACAGGTGACGATTCTGGCGATCCACCCTAAATAGGAAAGATTCAGCCAGGGTCTGCCTTTGCTTTGGGCACCGCTTCGAGGTAGATTCAGGCCTGGCTAGCTAGGAGGATTTGAGTGAGAATATGTTATGGAGTCGTATTCTCCATACGTTCATGATCTCAGCTTGGGGATTGACCTGTCATGTGTTACAGGTCGTCTTGATCTTTCGATTCAAGATCAGGACTAGATTCAGCTTGATCCCTTGAGGATCGTCTTCTGTTGTCACTGATAAAAGGTCGGTTGCCGATTCGTCAGTCCTCGACTCAATTTCAACTCATTCCCCGTACTCAACCTAAAAGGCTTTAGCCCTGGTGGTTTTTACTGTTTGTTAAGGGTTTCACCCGGACTTTTATTGAATGGTTACTTAACAAAGGTACTGAGTATTTAATTGAGGTTGGTTGGACTGGCGGTTGGGGCTTGCATGGCTAAAGCGAAGGGGTATGAGCATAGAGAATGGTTGGGGTTAACTCCGTGTAGTGTGTGTTTTGTCACTTGATTCTTGGTGTGGTTGCAGGTATGTCCTGTGGCTCGGATTTGGATTTGGACTGCCTACGATTCTATATACATATGCATGGTTGTGAGGGGTCCCACTGTGCCTGTGAGAAGTGATCATCATAACTCTATCCCCCTTCCGTATGTATGTGTGCATATACGTATGATGAGTGTTCGGGAGGCCTAAAAGGTCATGTTAGCAACTGCGTGAGAGTTGGGATTGACGGACAGGGAAAACCCTCCATCCTGCCTATTCTGCGTCTTGGGGATTTCTTAGTCGGACGTTGGTCCTGGGTCGGGATTCAAGGTCCTTGTCCAGGACATCCCAAGCCCCAGGCCCTGAAGGGGAGGAGTCTCCCCTCGCATAGAGCCTATTTACTTTGGCCGGCAGGGCACTCCGCCTGAAGGGCGGAAATGTCGCGAGGGCCGAACGGCATGTCCTTCAGCCATTCAATATCGTGAGGGGTAGCCCTTCGCGATGGGTTCCTTCAGCCATTCAACATCGCTAGGCCGATGCCACGGTTACCACATATGATTCGCATCAGTGGTTGGCATAGGGTTGGCCTGCGGCCGCACAGTTTTATATCAGAGCCCCGCACGCGACGCCTCACCGCCCCAACGTCTAAAAGTTATGGGACCGTCGGGCTTGCGCGTAGGCGCAGCGCTTGGGATTATCGTAGGCCGCCGACACCGCCCACAAACGGGAAGTGTGTCCCAAGGCCATGAGTTTTTTTTGTTTTAAAGGCCATAAGACCTTTGCCCTATCCCCTCTTCTTGGGTTCGTGCGAGTCTTGTTGCTTCTTAGAGATTTTTTATAGTTGGACGTTGTAGTCCGTGACAGCCGTCAAAGTCAAACCCCTTGATTTTCACCCAGATCCCGGGGAGGACTCACCCCTAGGGCCGCGAGAGACGACTACCACCACAGGCATGGGCCTGTGTACCACCCGCTCTGCATAAGGGTGCAGAAGAGGGTGTGTGGTCTCCAACTGCGCATGGCGGTTGTCTAGCGTCGAGAGATTAACCTTCAAGGCGCGTGTCAGCCGACACTTGAGTGTCGAACGCGACCCTCGAGATTAACGAGGACCGCGCGAGTATGGGTACCATGTGGTACACTATTGTTGCGACCCCTTACGTGCGTTTGCATCGCAAGTCGATATGAGTTAGCCCTGCGTCAGCGCGATTTTTATACTAAGTCTCGCGCGAGACGCCTATCCGATTTCCGCGTCGGGAAGTTATGGGTTGGCTACCGAGGGGCTAGGAGCGTTGTCGCGTTGTTTGCGTTGTGTCGTTCCGTGTGTATGTGTGCGTATTGTTGTCGTGTGGTCGTTAAGTGGTGTGCGCGTGGTGTGTGGGATGCGTCCTAGTCGACCGACAACGAGTCGCGCTTGGGACTTCAGGCCCCCAAGATGTCAGTTCGCGTGCGGGTCCGATAAGGGCGTATTTACCGCGCATACCCCCTATGCTACAACGAACGAGAAACGCCCTCGGCTGCTCCACCTCTGTGATTGCAACTGATTAGCTTTCGTACTGTGGACTGGTAGCTCGGTGGGGATACGCCCACCGAAGGGAGGTGACAGCTCCCGTAAGGTGGAGGTAAGTTGTGCCTCGCATAGGCCCTATCTTGTCGTAGGGGCTCGCGAGAGGTATGGCTGGCGCACTCGGCCGGGGCGGCCTAAGGAAGCTCCATTTGTGTATTCGTGACGAGGTTGGTCCAACTCCTACGTAACGCGGCCGAGAGGGTCCCGCACTGCCACGCGCGGTGTCGGACCGATGCGCTCGACAGGTGGCGCTGTTGTCGGGGATAACGGAAGCCTACGGTTGTGCCTTGTGGAACGACATCCGGGTACGAGAGTGAGGGAGAACTAGGCATATGAGCGGGACAAGAGAAGGACTATGAGACGGACTGTATGGTGATCTATATGACAATGAGTTGGATGATTGATTGATTGACGGTCCGACTCACAGCTCAGTGCTGTATGCGGATGAGGAAGTCCTATGGTAAGGATAAGCGTTATCTAGATGAGGCCAAAGGGGATGGGAGAAGGAATGCCTGCCAGGTCTAGAGTGGGGTGTCTAAGGTGGTCAACCCGATAGGGTCATGAAAGGTTGAGTCGCTTAGTGAGGTCCTCTGTCCCATCGTCTCTTATAACAGGAAGATTGAAGTCGAAGGCGGGTGACCAAAATGCCAGAAGAGATGGCGGACGGTGGGAGGAAACTTGTGACTTTCGATGACCTCATCGATGCCCTGGACAAGCGCGAGAGGGCGCCGAGCAATGTCCCAAAGGTCGAGACATTCCACTTCAAAGGGAATCGGGTATCTGATTGGTTGGATCTGACAGAGCAGGCGCTGGTGGGACTGTCAGATGAGGTCAAGCTCCTGCGGGTCCTGAGGTATGTCCTGCGTAGCCACCATCGAGAGGTAACTAAGGTTGTGGACGCCGCCAGTGGCAGTTGGGCAAAGTTTGGAGACCTAATGCGAAGGAAGTATAGGCTGGGGGACGACTTGTTGACCATGGCCGACTTGGAGGCCATGAAGAAGGAAGACTCCTCTACCATTGGGGCGTTCGTGCACGACTTCAAGAAAAAGGTGAGGAAAGTGCACGGCATTTCTGAGGAGGCGAAGTGTGCCACATTTTTGGGGCTGCTTACAGGCTCGGAGGCCACAGAGTTGACGAAGTATGGGGAAGGGAGTGAGAGGCTCACCTGGGCAACCATTGACAAGGGAGTGGAAGAAGGGAGCCTGGACCAGGTGGAGCAGCACCAAATAAGGTTGCAAAGGCGCAAGAGGAAGGAGAGGGATCCTACTGCATCCGGGACCCCGGGGGTGAAGAGAATAGTCACGGACGTGTTGGCGGCACTGGGGTTTGACAGCGAAGCAAAACTACAGAAAAGAGTGGTGGCAGGGCCCAAGGCCGGACGTCAGGAGTAGGAGATGAGGAGGCAAGGCGCGAAGACTACGGCGGAGGGGAGACGGGCTCCCAATCCCTGACTAAGGCCTAGAGGAAGCAGCATAATATGCTACTGGGGGGACAGGGATCAGGGAAAGGGCAGGCTCCCCAAGCCCTTACCGCACCACTACCTGTCGCCGCGGCTGCCCCAGCGCCCGCGCCAGCCGGATCATCGCACATGGGGCCGCCGCCATCTTGTGGACACTGGGTGCCGCATTGCCAATCCACGCCCTGGCCCAGTTGTAACCACTGCGTCTCGTGTGGAGGGAGTCAGGCCCACACAGGGCACATGGTCCCCTATTCAGGCCCATCCGCAAGTATGGGCCCCCCGAGCTACCCGACGACTCAAAGCCAGCCCGTGGCTCAACCGCCACCCTCCCAGCAGGCCTCGCAAGCTAGTGTGGCCGGGGGAGGAGGCCAAGGACAAGGCGGGCAGGGCAATGGGGGCCGGGGCCAAGGAGGTAGAGGAGGGGGCGGCCAGGGGCGAGGAGGAAATGGTGGAGGCCGTGGAGGAGGCTGGAATGGTAAAGGGGGTCAGAACCAAGGTGGCCAAGGCAGCCAGGGAGGGGGCCAAGGGTACGGGAGACCCCACTTCGACCGGCGGAACACAACTTGTTGGCATTGTGGCGAGGTGGGCCACACCGTACGATTCTGGCAACAGCGGCGGGACGACGAAAAGGCAGGATTAATCTCCACCTGTATGGACGGGGATATATACGACCGGTGGGGAATGCATATTGACCCCAAGACCTCGGGAGGAATCAGGTAGGAAGCCCTCAGGCGGGCAGCGGCCGGGCCTCCAGCAGCCCCGACAATGTTCAGGATATGGCAAGAAAGGCAAGACCCCGGCGTAAGGGTCGAGGAGATTATGGATGAAAATGAGGAAGTGACTCAGCGGCTGAAGGCGGGGACTATAAAGGAGGAACCCATAGTTGTTGAGTCCGATGAAGAGGTGCAGGAAGTGGTGAGAGAGTCAGCCTCGACCATCCTGGAGAGAATGGAGGACCTGCTTGCAAAGGTCCGCAGGTATCAGGAACGACTAAGGGCGATGTGTGGAAAGGCGCGGGAGTGGGAAATGAGCCTTTCTGAGGTGATGCTCTATGGGTCCGGTCCGGAGTCGTCATCAGGACCGCAAGGATGTCCAAGCGTGGCAACGACCGGGGCAGGTCCTAGGTCAGGGATGACCTTTAGACCTCCTACGTCGCATGGAAGGGTACCACAGGCCGCGCAGACTAAGGGCCAAAGTAAGGCTACCACCAGTCAAGGGTCCAGCCAGGCACCCAGTCGGGCGCCCCTTCGAAAGGACCCTGAGCTCGAACGAAGGAAGGAAGTGGTAGATGTCCAAGAGGAGGAAGATGAGGGTGATGACGAAGAGGATGAGAAGCTTCGGCAGGAGGAGGACCGGAGGGCGGAACAGAGGGCCAAGAAGAGAGGGGCTCAGGGAGGGGCGGAGCCGAGTCTGCATGATGGCGTGCCAAAAAGGAAGAAGTACGCAGTCCGGCTAAAGGAAGGTTTTGACGTGGAGCGAATGGTGGACAAGCTCCTGGAGGGCCATAATGATTTGATGAATTTAAAAGACATTTTGGCGTCGGCACCAAGGCTCCGTGGCGAGCTGAAAGGGCGGCTCTTGCGAAGGTTAGTGCCCAATGTCCACCCGAGCTCAATTCTGCCCAGGGAGATAGAGTGGACAGAGGCGGGCACCAGGATGGATTGGAAATGTGTGGCGTGTGGGTTGGTGGACTTGAAGGTGAGGGACCAACCAAGCATTGCAATGGTGGACATGGGCGCGGAAATGAATATCATCCGGGAGCGAGACGCGATGATGTTAGGGTTGAAAGTTGACCATTCGGGCCATGGTGTGCTGCACGGCGCTAACTGCAAGACCATTTTCTGCGGCACAGCGTCTAATGTGATGGTGGAGATTGGGAGAGTAAGAGCGCGAACGTGCTTCTTCGTCATGCCCGATGTCGACCTCCCTACCTTCTAGGGAGGTCGTTCCTCTGCCGAACAGAAACCTTGGTCTTCAACAGGCATGAGGGGACGATGATCCTGGCTCTATCCGATCCGGCTTGCGGAAACTACAAAATCATCAAGTGCCGGAACACAGGGCCCGGAAGTACGAGGAATAGGCTCAACCTCGGCTCCTTTACCTTCAAGGAGTCTGAGTACGCGCGGCGGAGGCTCCGGGAGGAACAGGAGGGGGAAGGAGCAGGCGAGGTGCTGTCCCTGAGCCTTAACGATGTGAATAAGGCAATGGAGGTGGTGGCGGCGCATGATATGGCGGACCCTGAGGCTATAAAGGCATTGAGGGAGCAGGTCCTGGATAGCCCTCAGATGGGAGAGGTGGAGCTGATCTATCGGCTTCCCGGGAGGAAAGGAGACCCTGCGGTGGCCCAGGTCCGAACGACAAGTCGGCCTTTTTTAGGGGAGGGCTTAAGCTGGGCTCCCAAAGGCGGTACAAGACTATAGATAAGAAGTGCCGCCCGGTCCCCGTGCTTGTCACGGAGAACGAGGAAGCCTATTATGAGCGAGAGAGAGGGCTGATAAGGCGTATGAGGGAGCACGCGCAGGCAGGGCCGTGCCACATCAATAATGAGAACGAGGAAGGGCTGATAATTGGCGAACCTGGCTTCCTTTCGCCTCAGGAAAGGACCTTGATGGTGGAGACCATGAAGAGGAAGCATTGCGCGTATGCGTTTAATGATGACGAGCGTGGGAGGTTGGACGTGGATAAGATCCTGATGATACGAATCCATACCGTCCCACACGAGCCGTGGAACCTAAGGGGCGTGCGATACCCGAACCCGGATGAGGAGAAAAAAGTGGTGGATTAGTTGGATGGGAATATGAAAACGTATGCGGCAGATTACTCCAGTGGACCGTATGCTCCCCCTTGATTTTGTTTTATCAAGCCGAACGGAACGCTACGGTGGGTGCAGGACTTGCAACGATTGAATGCAGTGATGGTGCGGGACGCGGGAGGATTGCCGAACGCGGACGCCCTGTCAGAGTCATGCGCAAGAAGGCCTATAATCTCAATTATAGACCTTTACTCTGGGTATGACCAGTTTCCTGTGTACCCACCGGATAGGCCGGTGACGGCGATGCATACGCCAAGGGGGCTGATCCATATGAACGTGGCACCTCAGGGGTGGACTAATGCGGTGGCGATGGTGCACAGGCACATGATTAGGGCCATGCAGACGGTTAGTCCCCACGTCACTCAGCCCTACATTGACGACTTGGCGGTCAAGGGTCCAAAGGAGAAAGAGGAAGATGAAGTGATGCCAGGAGTGAGGCAGTTCGTCTGGAAGCACGTCCAAGATATCGATCAGGTTCTGGGTCTGCTGGAAGAGCACAACCTGACGGCGAGTGGCCCCAAGTCGAAGCATTGCATGAGCGAGGCCACGATTCTGGGCTTTGTCTGCAACGAGAAAGGGCGGAGGCCAGATGTGAAGAAGACGAACAAGATCCTGGAGTGCCCAGTCCCTTTCCAGTCGATAACGGACGTGAGGAGCTTCCTTGTGACCTGTGGGTTTTGGAAGAGTTTTGTAAAGGACTTCGCCACCAAGACAGAGCATTTAAGAAAGCTGGTACGTCAGGATCAGGAGTGGGTCTGGAGCGGGGACCAGGAAAGGGCTGTGGAAAGGATGAAAAGAGAATTTAAGGAAGGAGGTTTGGTGCTAGGAGCGCCAAACTACGAAGCGACGGAGGAGAAGCCATTCGTTGTCGAGATGGACACTGGGCCAACTGCCTTAGGAGGAGTCCTGATTCAGACAGATGCTGATGGGAAGGAGAGGCCGCTGAGGTTTGAAAGCCGTACCCTCAATATGACTGAAAGAAACGATTCGCAGTTCAAGAAAGAGACGTTGGCGGTGCTCCATTGCCTAAGGACCTTCCGTAACTATATCTTTGGCAGATGACTCATTTTGAGGGTGGACCCTACTGAGCTTGCGTGTCCCCTAAAAAGTTATACTCCATCTGACCCAACCATCGCGAGGTGGTTGACCTACATTTGGACGTTTAACTTTGAATTGGAGAGGATTCCCGGGGACAAGAATAGGGCAGATGGGCTGGGCCGTATTGACTGGGATGGGGCGGGCAAAGAGTCAATTGAAGATTACCCACCAGTCGACGGGGTCTTGGACCAGGAGGAGGACGTCCGCCTCCACATAAATGAATGGTCGCTGAGGGTGCCTAGCTGTGTCACACATCCTATATGGCTAGCACCAAAGGGGTACGAGCAGAAGGAGGAGTTGGTCCTCAAGCCCTTCCAGGAAGAAGATCCGTGGAGGAGTAGGGATGTTGGTTGGATGATGAGGTTGGCATTGGCAGGGACACATAGTCTAGCGGAGGAGGTAAAGACGATAGAGGAAGGCCCAACCCAGGTAGAGGAGCATGAGCAACTAATGGGAGGAATGTACTTGCTCACCAACACGCTCCTGCAGGGGAACTTTGACCAGAGGAGCGCAGCCAGCTCCGAAGAGGGTCGAACTTCTCATTCCTGAGAGCCAGGACGACGAGTTCGAAGAGGGAGAGATTAGGGAGGCCTTCCGTGCTGAGGAGTATGACGGAATTTATCGGGAGTTGGGGTTACTCCTGTCGTGCGAAATGAGGGATAGGGACGCAAGTGCTAAGGCCCAGAAGATGAGGCATCTCTACGTAGTGAGAGATGATCATTTGTTTATAAAGCGACAGGTTGGGAACCCTAAGAGGATCGTATGTGGGAGGAACCGACAGATCGATGTCATAGCAGCCTTACACGATGGTATAGCAGGGGGGCACAAAGGGGTTAGTGCCACGTGCGCAAAGATAAGTGAGCTATACCATTGGGATGGAATGCTGACTATGGTCATCAAGTACTGCCAGTCCTGCGTACCCTGCCAACAGAGGTCAGCGCAAAGGCCGGGGGAACCTCTGCACCCCAGACTGGAAAGGGAAGTGGGTGCAGTCGTACACCTGGACCTATTGTTCATGCTACTTGGGGAGGACGGAAATAACTATATCTTCGACGCACGGGACAACCTTACCGGGTTCGTGGACGGCCGGGCTATTCGTACGAAAACCGGCCCAGTTTTAGCAAGGTGCATCGAAGAGTACCACTTGCGCTATCCATTTGTCAGGGAGTTTGTGATGGACCGCGGGTCGGAGTTTACGTGTAACGAGGTGCGGACCTTGCTTGCGAGATACGGCGTGGTAACAAACTACACTACTGCCGCGCACCCCCAGGCAAACGCACCTGTGGAGAGGGGGCATAGTACCATCACGAATCTCCTGGCCAAATGGACTGAGGGGAAGCCTAACCAGTGGCCGAAATTCCTGAGAGCAACATTCTTCGTGGAAAATATTATAGTGAAAAGGACTACTAAGTATGCGCCAGCCACACTATGGTACGGAAGGCATGCCACCTTTCCCATAGAAAACTTTATGAAAACGTGGAGGCGCCAGGACCTGGAAGTGAACCTGTCCTTTGAAGAACTGCTCGATATACGGGAGCGGCAGGTGGGAGTCGCTGAGGAAAGGTTACGAGAGACCGCTGGTCAGGTGGAGAAAAGTTGTATGGAAGACAAGATAAGGTGGGACCAGATGACCCGAATAAGGAAGGATCCGTTGAAGGTTGGAGATGTGGTGCTGCTGTATGACTCCTTGCTGGAAAAGCAATGGTCCAGGAAACTCGACAAACGGTGGCTGGGACTCTATAGGATCGTGCGGTGTGGCGAGTTTGGGGCCTACCAAATTGAAGAGCTGGATGCGGCAGGATGGCAGGACTGGGTATCAGGGACAAGGCTGAAGAAGTTTGTAGCCAGGGAATAGGTAAGGGACCATGAGACCTCGTTAGGGATAGAGCCTTGCCTAAAGTGCTACCCAGGCCGGGTAATTAGATAGGTGGGTGATTGGGGTGGATGGGTGTGGAGAGTATATGGGATTTCCCTAGGCCAATGGTTCAGTTGCTGACCCTGCTGTGTGCCTATTTGTTGTCTTTCGCCTGTTGTGCAGGTCTGACTTTTCGAAGGCAGTTATGCAGAGGGGCGGGAGGGGCACACGGCCACGTCAGGGGCCCCAGAGGATGGAGGGAAGGGGCGAGCAGCATGAGCCGCCTAGGAGGGAGCCTACGCCTGAGTTTGATGACGACAACATTGAGCTCTTCTTGGACGTATATCGGGACCATGCGGCACAGAGAGGGTGGTCAGTGGCGGAGAGGATTCACCACTTGAGGGGTATAGGGCAGTTCGAGGAGACTGTCGCTCAGATATGCGAGGAGGCCCTGACTTGGCCAGATGTGGAGGTCAGGATGCAGAGGTTGAGGGCTTGCCCTAGGGGGCGTGACGGCATGCCCATTCGGTTGGAGGAGGGGAACGCAGATGAGTTCATCCCCGCATATGAACACTACATGTTGAGTCTGGGGGTTGCGCGGGAGGAATGGGTACAGGCCCTACTTATCTGGACGAGGCAGGCAGAGAGGCAGGTGGCCAAACAGATTCGGGAGAGGGCTCGAGACTGGGAGGACTGTCAGGCCCAGCTCAGGAGGGCGTTCGGACGGCCACAGCATGAGAGGCACGAGCCCAGGGTTGAGAGGCGACTGCGAAGCAAGAGACCGAGGGAACCGGCACCGAGAGAGGTGGGGCTGGCCAAAGAGAGGAGGAGAGCCCCAGCACGGCAGGAGGATGAGCCCGTAGGGCCCGCATTGGCAGAGGAGTCATTCCCTGCTTGTGGCCTCCGGGCAGTCGAGTTCCGGCGAGTTACGAGTGAGGAGTTGAGGTCGCCCTCACCATTGCCATCCGCGCAGGAGCTGGACATACCGAGAGAGACGCCATTCCGGAGTCTAGCGACTCATCTCGACGTATCACAATGGGAGGCCTCACGATTGGGGGAGGGCTCAGTTGAGCCGGCATGCTACGTGCTGTTAGAGGAGCCTTTGGACCCCGAGAGAGAGACGGACTGGCGAGGCAAAGAGGGGCCGCCGGATCCTGAGATGGCAGCCAGGCGGCCGGATCCGGTACGGCCTCAGGAAGGGGAAGTAATCACAGTTGGGGACGATACTCCTCCATGCTCCCCAGTTTCAGAGCCAGTACAACGTTCATGGCCAAAGGGGATTCCTGAGCCAGGCAGCGAGGAGATTCCGGAGTCTCCCCTTGAGGCCACCGCTATGCCTGAGCAGGAGGCAGAGGCGGAGGGTCGGGGAGTATGTGAGAGAGCGAGGGTGGAGACGCCCCTTGACTTGCCATTGGCCACGCACGCGACCAAGAGCCCAATTATCGAGGAGTCCGTTTCAGCGGCGCTACCGCCAGCAGTGCCATGCGCGAGCGAAGGGATGGGGGCTGAGGCAACGGCTCCAGAGGGCCAGGGGCCGCGAGTGAGAGGGACCCCAAGGGAGACCCGCGAGGAGAGATCCGCCCGAGTGCGAGTCTGTCTGGATGAAATACATACGAGGCAGGCTGAGATGGAGGCAGCGGGAATAGAGCCGACACCGTCGGTCGAGCCCAAGATGAGCGAGCAGAGGATCGACGAGTTGTGGGCTAGGTGTGAGAGCTAGAGGGATGCAACCCGCCAGAGGTCACGAGAGGCAGGACGGGCGGACGAGGAGGCGAGTGAGTTGAAAGAGATGGGGGACTTGGGGTTCTCCGCGGCCAGGCAGGTGATTGAGCGCATGGATCGGAGGGTATGCGAGACGACAGTCACATCTTTCCAGTGGTATAATCTACTCAGCAATGAGCTCAGGGTTAAGGAGCTGGAGGTAGAGCACCTGACTACTCAGCTTGCCGAGGAGAGGGCGAGGAGCCAGGCTAGAGAGGTTGAGTGGGAGAGGAGATTTGGGGAGATGGCTGCCGCTGTGGATAGGCTCTCGGTAGCCTGGGACGCTAGCCAGATGGGGCGAGTCGGTGCTGATGGCGAGGGCCGGGGGATGCGCGCCTCGCCAAGCCAAGGAGCGGCAGTGGAGGTCCCTCGACAGAGTGAGCCGATGGAGGAGGTGCCCTTGGACGCAGTTGAGGAGGAGGGTGGTGCGCAGGAGTCGCTTATGGCTATGCCCACGAAGAGGAGAGGTTCGCGCTTGCATGAGCTGGCGGCAGCCATGGGGATAGGCACTCCACAGAAGAGGCCTCAGAGACTCGATGCTCCAGAGCAGGCCCCGAGGTTGGGAGAGTTGAGGGCGGAGCTGGGCTCCTGGGCCACGGAGACGGACTCTGGAGGGCCTGACTTGGGACGGCAACAACAGCAGGAGGTCATGAGTGAGCCCGCCGCTATGGGGGGCCCTCGACTGTCAGGAGTATGTAGGGATGAGGCGGTGATGACAGAGAGGGTTCATGAGGAGGGACCCCGAGAGTTGGACATGCCAGAGCGCGGGCCAGGGAGTGCGGTCGCACGAGGAGGTGAGGGTGCTAAGGCTATGGAGCCTGGACCTCAGGACCACGTGGGATTGCCCTTGTGTCATGAGGTGACTACTGAGACCATGGGGGCGCCTTCGGCATCAAGTTCGCAAGGAAGAAAGAAGAAGACTGCCAGGTGGCACGATACCTCCTGTTTTTGGTGCAAGGAGGGAGGGCATAGGGCCGTGGACTGTCAAGAGCTCCTTGAGGATAAGGTCAAGGGGCGAGTCGCGGAGGTCGACGGTAAGTTCTATGACAGACAGGGCAAGATAGTGGAGCGAGCTCCAGATGGGGGCAGGGCTCAGTTGTATAGACAGAACCAGAAAGAATTGTGTAAGTACGGACCGGTCTGTCTATATATTGGTAGGACTAGATGTCCTTGACACACACAGGGTGGGGTTAGAGGTGTACATATCTTGAGCCAGTTGAGTGGGCCCTAGATGTGTGTGTGCGTAGGAGTGGTAGGATGAGTTTCTATCCGATTGTACACGTGCGTTTGACTTTTGTTCGCTTGCTTTCTTTTGAAGTTTCTTCGTGGGCTGCGACCCAGGGGTAAGACTCAGTTGTGCGATGTATGTGACCATTTAGTTACATTTGGTTTTGTGATTCAGAAGCTACTGTTGCTCTGAATGGGATTTGGGAGTTTATAGCACTTGGGATGTGAGTTTTCCCAGCAGGGGGGGGACAAGGGCTGGGTATTTTGTGGATGTTAGGTGGATGCTATGTTCCCGAGTGTATTTGATGAGTGTACAGTGGGGTTATGAGTCCTACTCAGACAGGCGGGGCATTGAGTTGAGTGTTTGTATTCGATTGTTGAGGGAGACACTCTGCTCCCTGAGTATATTATGAGTTGAGTTTTTGCGAGATTTGCCTTATGACGATCACTATCATTCTCACACGTGTGGCTTTATCCTGATGTATGATCGGCTTTGTGTGAGAGAAGTACAGGATACACCTTATGGGCATGATTGTGTAAATTGTAAAGTTGTCTACCCTCCGGTATACTCGTGCGGTCTGCTGCAAGTGGACGAGAGGGCAGAGTATAAGGAGGGGAATTGCAGCCTGTTTGTGAAAAACTGTGAGAATCCTACAGGATTGATGAATTTAGGAATTTGCACGTTTGGTCATACTAAACATCGATGCCTAAATTGTATAGGGACCCATAAGGTGGCCCCTCAGTTTGAGTTGTTCGATGATTAAGACCCCCTTCGTGGTTCCGGGAGGTGGGAATTACATTGTATAGAGACCCCTTCATGGTTTTGAAAGAGGTCGTGTGAGGAGTCATCCCCTACAAAAAGAGGGTGGCCAGAAAATCTTTTGTGAAAGGCACACTTCATTGAGTAAGGGTGGGTAAAATTTGAATGGTATGAAAACCATTGTCTGTATTGATAAAGTCTGACGAGAGGAAACCATGTTTGCTTGAAATTTTTGAAAAGGGCGAGAGATGCCTCAGGGTGGGCGACTGCTGGCTCTGATCAAGTCAGGGGCCGCGGCCTCGTGGATCCGGCGGGAAGACTGTATGTGATTGAGCGATGGATGCCGTGCCTATTATAGGAGAGCCGGTAAATGCCTTCAGACCCCTGCGTAGTCCCGCAGCGGCCGTGAATTGTTTGTGATGCCCCGCCAAGCCACTTGTGATAACTCTGAGACATATTTGAGGGAATACCAAGCTAACGGTAAAGTTTAGTGTCACCTGGGCACAACCCCTAGTGGATGGCTGCTAGCTGGCACAACCTGGCTACGGGCCCGCGAGGTAAGAGTTTAAAGGGAGTTGCCCGCCCCAGGGAAATTACTCCGCGGGATAAGAGTCGAGTCTTTTGGAGACCCTGATTGATTGATTATTAGAGACATACCTGTCGTTGTATAACCAGCGGGAGGATACCACCGCTAAGGTAACAATGCGGTGGGCCGTAGACCTGGCCCGATCAACTAGGCTATGGTGGGCTTAGATGGAGACCTGACGTTTCTGTACTAGACTGCAGAGAGAAAAGAGAGAGGCTATAAGCTATATATACATGCATTTTGCTTGATGGTGAGAAGATTGTTGAAAGAAGGCAAGAATGCCTTCACAGGTCCCATTCAAAAGTCCGCGTCCCTAGTTATGGCTCTGTCTGCGAGAAAGAGCCTAGCTGGGACACCCAACGAGAGTACGGCGGTTGTCTAGGACAAAGGGGAAGAGGATGGTTTGGGGGCCTTTGGAACTTATGCTGTAGTATTGATGCGTAATACACCGACGCCCTGGTGTTGGGGCAATGGAAACCCAGGTTGAAACCCTGGCAACATATAGTTGTGTTGGCACGGTTTGATGGAGGCCTCAACCCTGAGTCTTCCAGCTAACCGGATTGGTTCTGATCTCGTCAGCATTTAAAATGTAATGGCAATTTATAGCTTTTTGATTTGGCAACGCGACGGGGACGTCGCTTAATATGGTACGGTAAGCTGTCGGCGCGAATACCCTTACAAGGGTATCCGCCCTGGTTTTTGCAAGTGACAGAAAGGCTCGGTTAACTTGGACTTTGAGTGCCCGTGCGGAAAAATGTGAGGGTCGTTCGCGCGCGGGCCAAGGTTTGCCTTGTCCCGGTAGGAGTAGGTGGGCGCAATATTTAAGGCGCGCATGTGATTTTTCTAATAGAATGGGCGGCCAGGAAAGCCGATCGACCCGGATCGTGTTCCGACTTTGGTTAGGGGATGAAAGTTCGTTTTGATCGGCGCGAGCGACTCAGCAATAGGGCTGGCGCGCAGGTAGTCGCATGGGACGGCCATGACACGGGGTGGTAGACCGACGCGGACACTTCGGGGCCGTCGGAACAAATGGGGTCCAAGAAGCGGCCAGGGTGGTATCTTGGCCCGGAGCGTCTCGCGGCAACCCCTTATATGGGAGGCCGCGCCTGCCAGTACCAAGCTTGGGCTTAGCCCTATTGGTTACGACATCGGATTATTGCGGCTGAGGTACGAGGAACGAGGCCAGCTGACGGCGGCATGGGAGCGATGGAGCGACGAGAAGAAAAAGGGGTTGAGGGTCCCGCGGGACTATCCCCTTTTTTGTTTTTTGTTTTCTTGTTTTGATTATCGGGAGAGTCGGTCGCGGGCCCTCATTGCGGGACTAAGGGAGCGCCAGTGGGGTCTGTGCGCGGCCTGAAAATTTTGGGTGGTATTGCCCCCGTTGGCAAGATCTTGTCCCGATCTATATTGATGTTCTGACCCCCGTGTATGGGGGTGGGTGGTAATTGTGGGGCAGGCCTTAGAAACAACCGAATTGACACGAAGAGTCCGGGGATGACCCCGGACGTGAGTCGGACCAGGTGCACGCGTGAAAGAGAAGGGGGGGGATTTTCGTTTATATCAGATTCGGTCTGTTTTTGTGCTCTTCTTATTCCCTTGCCCGCTTTTTTCTTTTGTCGTAT